ATTATTATTATTATTATTATTATTATTATTATTATTATTATTATTATTATTTCGGATCACCTGAAGATTAGACACCCAAGTTTATTTCACTTGATGATTAATCAACCCTAAAGCTACCTGGGGTATTAGGTTAGATTAGGTTAGGTTAGATTAGGTTAGGTTAGATTAGGTTAGGTTAGATTAGGTTAGGTTAGATTAGGTTAGGTTAGATTAGGTTAGGTTATATTAGGTTAGGTTATATTAGGTTAGGTTAGGTTAGGTTAGGTTAGCATTAGTGTGCTAATCACCAGGTGAGATAATCAGGGGTGTCTAATGTTCACGTGATCCAAAATTATCACTACAAGGACAATACAAGAGTGGGAGGCAGCACCACCCACTATCTGACATTTACACCCAGTGGCCGAGGACACCCCACCATCCACCCCCACCCTCACCACCCAACCTTCATGCACCTGAGTTTTGTAATCTCTGCCTCTCCTTCTGTGCCTTGTTTACAGTGACGCACCTGTAAATGTCCAACCTGTATACGTGTTGAGGTAAAGAAACACACCTGTATACGTGTAAATGTAAACAAAGCACACCTGTATACCAAAGCAAGTATATTAAGGGTAAAAGTATAATTAAAAAAGGTATTTGTGTATTGGCGGGTAAAGTGTGGTGATGGTGCAAATGATTGATGAGAGAGAGAGAGAGAGAGAGAGAAGACTGGCTGGTATCTCATGTTTGTAAACTTCATAGCTGTGACGAGACCCAGGGTTGCACAGACAACACCTCCTTCATCCAGGGACACCACCACCACCACCTACAGCACCTACTTCACCTCTACCCATCTCCTTCCTCTACACCTCCACCTCCTACACTAACACCTCTTCCATCCACCCCCCACCCAACCTCCTCCACATCACACCATCTCCTCCTCATCCACCATCACCACACAAACCATCCCTGCGACCATTACCACACACCACCACTACCACACGTGAAGACAACAGAGCAGTATATTTGTGTTATAGACCAAAGCATTAGTGAGACTCCAGGCACTTGACATTATCTAGTCTAAAACAGGTGGGGTGGGAATAACCTTGACCCCTTGACAATACTGAGGGTGGAGAGCTACGTCATAGGCAAGGTACTTCAACTGATATAAACACAGGGTCATTACAACACAACAACCATTACCCTCTTCCTCTATAACCTTAATTAACAACAACAGCTCTCCCATAGTCACAATTAATTAAAAATATGAAAGTTAGAGAGGGTTAGGTTAGGTTAGGTTGGGTTGGTTGGGTTGGTTGGGTTGGGTTGGGTTGGGTTGGGTTAGATAAGGTTAGGTTGGGTTAGGTTAGGTTAGGTTGGGTTGGGTTGGGTTGGGTTGGGTTGGGTTGGGTTGAAGGTTAGGTTAGGTTAGGATTAGGTTAGGTTAGGTTAGGTTAGGTTAGGTTATCTCCTTCTCTATGCTGATTTCCTCAGGAACCACCTAATGTATTTAATCTAACGCTAATATAACTTCAACCAAATCTAACGCTCCTAATCTAATGCTAAAAGTAATTTGTAAACTCGATTTCTGTGATCGTCTTTGACTATACTGAGACTTAATTGAGTGAGTGAGCGAGTAAACAAGCAAGTGAGTTAATTAGTAAGTAAATAAGCAAGTAAATAAGCAAGCAAGCAAACAAGCATTACTAACTTGGACAAACTATGGCACTGGGCTGTTTAAACGATACCCAGATGCCAAGAGGTCAGCGTAATCTGTGTCAATCTGGAGAAGCAGGCCTGCCACCACCACCACCACCACCACCACCACTACTACTTCTACCACCACCTCTACCACCACCACCACCACCTCTACCATGAGTGGATGAGTGTGTAGGTGGGTGGGTCGATGGGTGGGTGGGTGGGTGGGTAGGTGGTCCTATACTCCCACCCTCTGCATAATTAACTAAGAGAGAAACCTGGAAGATTACTGCACATCCTCAATCCAGGGAAGACGATGAGAGCCGCGTCATTACAGGTGCTGAGACAGGTGGATGGTTGGCGGTACACCCCCCTCCCCCCTCCTAAAAAACTGTGACCCTTGACCTGCCTGTATCACTCATCCCTCCTTCCTCTCCTCCTCCTTATCTCCCAGTCTATTACCTGTCCTTCCTCCTCCTCTTCCTCCTAATCTTCCTTCCGTCTGTTACCTGTCCTTCCTCCTCCTCCTCCTAATCTTCCTTCCGTCTGTTACCTGTCTCTCCTCCTCCTTCAGTCTGTCTCCTGGGGTGACTCACTGCCCCTCCCCAGGTGTACTATCGGTGACCCATTTTACCCTGTGTACTGTCCGTGATGATGACCTGTGACCTCTCCCCCCCACACACACGCCTTAAGAGCCGTGACCTTGACCCCATGACCTTACCGGCTGATATTGTCCCTCCATTGGTCGACGCCCAACACAACACTTGTCGAGATCCACCGAACGAACTAACTCCGAGTCCTTGTTTACACCATGTATGAGTGTAAACAAAGGGGGATAAGGGTCGGGTGTTTGCTGAGAGAGAGAGAGAGAGAGAGAGAGAGAGAGAGAGAGAGAGTTGATACGGTATAAGTAAGTTATTAGGTGAAAATAATGATCTAAGTTTGGTAAGGTTGGATCAGTGGGATCAAGACACATGCACAGATGTTTATCATTGTCTTCCACACACTCTCTCTCTCTCTCTCTCTCTCTCTCTCTCTCTCTCTCTCTCTCTCTCTCTCTCTCTCTCTCTCTCTCTCTCTCGACACACTCTCTCTCTCACGACACACTCTCTCTTTCAGAACACACCACCACACACCTTCATCCACCATTACACACCCTCACCCACCCTCAAAGCCACTCGGCTCCTTACAGATCACGGCTGTTCTCACCTGTTACTGTTCACCTGTGTTCATCAAGTAAGTATTATTATCCATCCTTGTTTACCTCTCTCTCTCTCTCTCTCTCAGTATAAATCAGAGGTGCACCCGGTCACAGTGAGAGGCGGCCCCCGTGTACTGCTGGGGGAGGAGGACCCACCGTCAGCCACTCCTACAGGAACGTCACCACCTACCTTTGTATGGTTAAGTGATGATTACAGAGGCACTTAAGGTACAGTCATAGGGTAATTCAAGTGCCATCATTGAGTTTACTATTTTGAGTCAGGTTAGTTAGTTGTGTTTTTGAGTCTCCAGTTACGAGGCAAATTAAACTCAGCTCAGGGGGGCGTGTATGTTAAATGATACCCTGATTGGCTATTCAACAACCCATCTCAACCAATCAGCGTATGAAAAACAAATCAAAATGGATAACTTAATGAAGGTTAGGAAACGAAACTGAATATTGAAGTGAAATGTCATCAAAATAGCTCCGAGACTCTACCTATATGTGGAGGAAGAGAGGAGGAGCTCACCTGTCCACGCTTCCTCTGCCTCCCACCTGTATAGTTACCATGGCAACCCACCTTCACGGTAAATCACCAACGTCAGCACAGGTATTACATCTCTACGTCATTCCTCCCTCCCTCCCCCGTGTGTGTGTGTTGTCCAAGCCTCACATAAGGGCGTGGTGGAGTCGTCAGGTGTCAGGGGCGTGGGTGGGGTAGGGTGGGGTGGGGTGGATGAGTGAATACAACACTCACTCAGCCCACCGCACCCCTAATTAATGTGGTTCGGTTTTCATGGGTTACCGCACCTAACTTTACAGATGAGGAAGTGAAGGCGATCAAGTACAGGTGTGGTTGGTAGTACAGGTGTGGTTGGTAGTACAGGTGTGGTTGGTAGTACAGGTGTGGTTGGTAGTACAGGTGTGGTTGGTAGTACAGGTGTGTTTGGTAGTACAGGTGTGTTTTAGTGCCTGGTTTGTTTGTGGTAGAATAGTTGTAGTACAGGTGTGTTTGTTAGTACAGGTGTGGTTGGTAGTACAGGTGTGGTTGGTAGTACAGGTGTGGTTGGTAGTACAGGTGTGGTTGGTAGTACAGGTGTGGTTGGTAGTACAGGTGTGTTTGGTAGTACAGGTGTGTAGGGCAATACACCTCAACCAGTGACACAGTTGATTTGGTCAGAAATTTTTACGGACACACAAATTGCACAACAACAACAACAACAACATAGAATTATCTGGATTACGATCTTTAGTACTATCCCCTGGGTACGATGACAACCCGAGTACAAGAAAGTAACCCTTGAGTACGATTACTTAACAGCTTGAGTACGATGATAAACCCCTTGAGTACGACGACTAACCCTTTGAGTACGATGGTATTGTATTCGGGGAGTTAAGTCGTCGTACTCAAGAGGTACATCATCGTACTCAAGGGATTAAAGTGTAAGTTAGTGACAGGAGGGAGGGAGGGAGGGAGGGAGTGGTAGGAGGGATGAAGGAAAAGAAGGATGGAGGAAAGGTGGATGGAGGAAAGGTGGATGGAGGAAAGGTGGATGGAGGGTGAAAGTGTAGTAGGTGACCTAGGTGGTGGTGGTGGAGCGCCCCTCACATTGCTCCCATACTTCCATCTGTCCACCACTCTATGACGCAACACTTACCTCACCAAACTCCCTCACTCACTCCAGCATGTCTCCTACCTCCACACCCTAACACCTGTCTCCTACCTCCACACCCTAACACCTGTCTCCTACCTCCACACCCTCATCCTAACACTTGTCTCCTACCTCCACACCCTCATCCTAGCACCCAATCCCCAACGACGTCCAAAGTTAACTCTACCTTAACTAGATACCTTCACTAAACTCCTGTCAGTCAGTTAGGTATATTTTGTTAACTCTTCAATTACGAGGACCTTTGTCAGTGTAGATCCTCGCCTAGTGTGTTGACCTACTGCTGTATAAAGTCGTAAACACCAGGAGTAGCTCAGTGGTGTTAAGTAGACCTGATTAACTTCAATCACGAATAAGACGTGACTGTGAGGATCTGTGCGAGACTATGTACTGAACCTGTGTGGGAATATGTGAAAATATATGTACATAAAATAGACGACAAAACATAATCTTACCTTCACTATCTACAGCTCCGTGACAGTCGACCACTATGGCTGGCTGCGCCTGAGCCAGCTGCCAGTCGTCGCCGCTCCCACACAGGTCTTCCTCTGGCTGACACAGTGGCGGGCACTCAGGGGAGAAATCATCTATAATAGTTTTCTCCGACACTCCACCACTGATGTGTGTGTCAGGAGCAGCCACAGCCTCACTCCTTGACGCCTCTCCCTCCTCCTCCTCATCGTCAGAGGAGTCGATGTGCGGGATAGAGTCTAAGATGCTGCTGACCGAGAGCGTGAGAGTGGCCGTCCCCCCAGGGTCGTCAGTGAGGCTGTCTGGGGTCGCTGGGTAGTTGTGGGAGACGTCTGTGGGCGTCAGGTGGCCCTCACACTCACTAGTGGTGGCGGCAGGTGATGGGTCCTCACCACTACGGCCCTCCTTAGCCTCAACAGGACTCTCGTGTCTGTATATCAACGTTTCCTCCGACACTGACCTCGGCACCTGCGGGTCGGTGTTTAATATAACACTCGTGTTGTCTTCGTCGCTGGATCCTAAACTCCTCGACGCTGAAGACAGAATCGACTCTCGGGAAGACCACGCGTTAGACTTGACAAAAGAAACAATTTTGGCACAAGCTTGGCTGGGAACCTCGTACAGGATATCAGGTTCACTCTCAACCGGCGGTTTATCCTTCATCATCATTCCACTTCTCCGTCTCCGAGTCTTGACGTCTCTCACCCCACAACCGCAGGAGTCTGTGGGGTCACACTCCAGGGCGAGCGACGCCCGCCTCTGCCTCACAAAGGCCTTGTAACTGAGGGGCTCCACCTGAGGGGGATCAGGTGAAGACAATGACCTCAGCAGCATCTTGTGGACAGCAGGTATAGAGTAACTACCCATCATCCCGGAGGTGGAGCCGTTGACCAGGTCGCGCCTCCTGTGACCCATCACCCTCGACCTCAGATACCGGTATTCTTGTTCCTTCCATTCTATCGTCTGACACGCCCCGAAGGCTTCATTCACATCATCCAGGTTCCCCCCCAAGTCCCGTTGAGGAGCATCACCCTCGTCGCGAATTTCCAATGACTCACAGTTTAGCGACGTGTACCTGAAGTCTTCAAGTGTGGCTCTCACCCTGGCCAAGATGTGCGTCAGGTGGGCGGGAGTCTCACGCGGGCCGGAGATGCTGGACGACATCTTTGACGCACCTTCCTCGATTTCTTTCCATTGACGCAACACCTGGTCAGCTGCCACCACTGTAAAGCTTCCTCAACACCGTGTCATCACATCAACACATCAGACTGTATATACCTGTACCTATGTCGTGGCCTCTCTACACACACCTGACGACAGTGCCAGTACAGGTGATGATACAATTAGCGAAGGAGTTATCTATCACTGTTGGTCGTCTTCCCAGAGTTGATATCTATCGAGAGTCCTGGTCATGAGGAGGCGAGGGCTGAGAGTGGTGAGGGCTGATAGTCCTTGGCAGTAGGTGAGGGCTGACCGTTCTTGACAATACAGCAAGTGAGGGCTGACAGTTCTTGACAATACAGCAAGTGAGGGCTGACAGTTCTTGACAATACAACAGGTGAGGGCTGACCGTTCTTGACAATACAGCAGGTGAGGGCTGACTGTCCCTCGCAATACAGTAGGTGAGGGCTGACAGTCCTTGGTGTGGCAGCGAGTGAACTGACGAGCTAGCAGTCTTCCTCACCAACACACACAAACGCCATCCCTCCCGGCTCCAGCAGACACCATCGCCGCCGCCCACCACAGCTGAAACACAACCAACACACACACATTAGTTTTGTCTATAAGGTCATTTGAAGGTCATTTACCGTAAGCAAAATCAATTAATTATTACTTCCTGATAAAATCTATTAATTGAAAATGCAAAAGAAAGTATTTTTCACAAACTCTATTACACAGGGAGGGAGGGAACACAAGCCAGTGCTCTTTACAGAAGAGAGTAAGGCAGTAACACGTCCACCCAACACTCGCCTTTAACGGGTCACCTGCCTCCCACCCACCGTCCATCTACCTGCCTGGTGATGGTGTTGCCCCCCTCACCACACCTTCACCACACCTGTTACCATCACCACACCTTCATCTTCATCACCACACCCTCACCCTAACACCTGCCACTATCACCACACCCTCTCACACACACACACACACACAGTAAGCGAAAGTGACTTCCTTAGGCCTAACGATCCATTTGAGGTAACGTGAACACTGTAATGAGGTTGGCACTGCACTCGACCTCCTTAACTTGCACAACTGGGTGGACTGGGGTGGACTGGGGGGTGTGGGTAGACTGGGGGTGCCATGGGTGGACTGGGGTGTCATGGGTGGTGGGTACAGACTGGGGTGCCATGGGTGGACTAGGGGTGCCAAGACTGGTGTGGGTGGACTGGGGGTGCCATGGGTGGACTGTGCCATGGGTGGACTGTGTAGACTGGGGTGCCATGGGTAGCGGTGACTGGGGTGCCATGGGTGGACTGGGGTGCCATGGGTGGACTGGGGGTGCCATGGGTAGACTGGGGGTGTCATGGGTAGACTGGGGTTCCATGGGTAGACTGGGGGTGGGGGGGGGTGCCATGGGTAGACAGGGGGTGGATGGGTGGACTGGGGTGCCATAGGTGGACTGGGGTGCATGGATGGATTGGGATGCCATGGGTGGGCTGGGGTGCCATGGGTGGACTGGGGGTGCCATGGGTGGACTTGGGGTGCCATGGTGACTGGGTGATGGGTAGACTGGGGTGCCATGGGTGGACTGGGGGTGCATGGGTGGATGGTGCCTGGGTGGACTGGGGGTGGGGTAGACTGGGGGTGTCAGGGTGGAAATGGGGGGTAGGACAGTTTCATTGGTAAAGTCGTAGCACAAAGTCGTAGTAACGATTAACGACTAAGATGGGCGGGTGGTTGTGACGTAGAGAACCATCCCCCCACCACGGTTGCCCTGTTATACATCACCAGCCACGGAGCCGCACAGGAAACAAAAAGTCGGGGCCATGATTACGGAGGCAGTACGGGGCGGTGCGTGAGTGTGACTCCGGTGGGGTAACGGGGCACTAAGGGGCACAGGCCACATACGGGACCCTGACCTCTCTTTCAGTACACTAACTCATCCTGTCGCCTCTCTCTCTCTCTCTCTCTCTCTCTCCTTCCTCTCACCTCTCCATTCATCCACACACACACACACACACACACACACACTCCAGCTTCGGTAAATCTAACTTGACTTGGGTAATAATAGAAGTCAGATTAATTGATTCACATAAACGTCAAGTATTAGGTTAGGTTAGGTTAGATGGAAGTTTCATATATAACGGACCCTCGATATAACGTACTCTCACCTCCATATAGTCCGTTAGATGGAGGTTTCCGGTCACTATACACGCCCTCAGGTTCAATAGAGGTGAGAAGGATTACGTTTCGCGATAAAAATATTACACACAAAACTAACACACTGTACCTCTCTCTCTCTCTCTCTCTCTGCACCTGAAGCCAACTGAGTCCATTTGAGTCCATATTAGACCACCTGAGTCCTTTTGTGTCCATCTGTGTCCACCCAAGTCCATTTGAGTTGACCTGAGTCCACCTGAGTCCATCTGAGCTCACCAAAATCCACCTGTCTCCATCTTGAGTCCACCTGTCTCCATCTTGAGTCCACCTGTCTCCATCTTGAGTCCACTTGTCTCCATCTTGAGTCCACCTATCTCCATCTTGAGTCCACCTGTCTCCATCTTGAGTCCGCCTGTCTCCATCTTTAGTCCACCTGTCCCCATCTTGAGTCCACCTGTCTCCATCTTGAGTCCACCTGTCTCAATCTTGAGTCCACCTGTCCCCATCTTGAGTCCACCTGTCTCCATATTTAGTCCACCTGTCTCCATATTTAGTCCACCTGTCTCCATCTTGAGTCCACCTGTCCCCATCTGAGTCCACCTGTCCCCATCTTGAGTCCACCTGTCCCCATCTTGAGTCCACCTGTCCCCATCTTGAGTCCACCTGTCTCCATATTTAGTCCACCTGTCTCCATCTTGAGTCCACCTGTCCCCATCTTGAGTCCACTTAAATCCACCTGGCGGCAGCAGACGTAGTTACTAATGTTATCTGACCTCATTAACTCCCAACTACGTCATTCTTCTCTATTGACCTCTTGACCTCTTACCTAATGAGGACATTCTTCCCCTCGGGTCATGTATGTGTGTGTGTGTGTGTGTGTGTGTGTGTGTGTATGTGTGTGTTTGTTTGTGTGTCAATCTGCTTTCCCCATTTACTCACACACACACATCACCTACCCTCCCTCCCTCCCCAAACTACAAACTCACAGTCTATGTAATTTCAATCCTACAAGTACCGTCCGTGATTAACGTACGATAACCAACACACATTACAAGGTCGACCTCCAAATCAGACAGGGCGCAGGAACCACCATCACTACCACCCGTCTGAGATACTGGGAGTCGAGTGTCAAGTAGTTGGTCACTTATATACACTAAGGCGTTGCTCCTACCCCCCTCCCCTACCCTCCTCACCTCCCCTCACCCCTCACCCCCTCGAGTGTTCCTCCAGATGACATTACCAACAGCAAGTTAACCAGGACGCTCTGTCTTGTTTGTTTACACTTGTTTACTGTTGTTGTTGTTGTTGGGCGAATGTGTCGGAGCAACGGCAACAGACATCAACGGTAAAAAACAAACAGAAAGTGTAACAACAGAAGTAATACACAGCTGAGATCAGGGAGTAATGTAAGCTGAGATCAGGGAGTAGTGTAAGCTGAGATCAGGGAGTAGTGTAAGCTGAGATCAGGGAGTAGTGTAAGCTGAGATCAGGGAGTAAAACTGGAGATCAGGGAGTAGTGTGCTGAGATGGAGTAGTGTAAGCTGAGATCAGGAGGCAAGCTGAGATCAGGAGTAGTGTAAGCTGAGATCAGGGAGTAGTGCAAGCTGAGATCAGGGAGTAGTGTAAGCTGAGATCAGGGAGTAGTGTAAGCTGAGATCAGGGAATAGTGTAAGCTGAGATCAGGGGAGTAGTGTAAGCTGAGATCAGGGAGTAGTGTAAGCTGAGATCAGGGAGTAGTATTAAGCTGAGATCAGGGAGTAGTATTAAGCTGAGATCAGGAGTAGTATTGCTGAGATCAGGAGTAGTGTAAGCTGAGAACAAGGAGTAAGCTGAGATCAGGGAGTAGTGTGCTGAGATCAGGAGTAGTGTAAGCTGAGATCAGGAGTTATGTAAGCTGAGATCAGGAGTAGTGCAAGCTGAGATCAGGAGTAGTGTAAGCTGAGATCAGCAGTGTAAGCTGAGATCAGGAATAGTGTGCTTGAGATCAGGGAATAGTGCAAGCTGAGATCAGGAGTACTGTAAGCTGAGATCGGGGAGAAAAAGCTGAGATCAGGGAGTTATGTAAGCTGAGATCAGGGAGTAGTGCAAGCTGAGATCAGGAGTAGTGTAAGCTGAGATCAGGAGAAAGTGTAAGCTGAGACAGGAATAGTGTGCTGAGATCAGGGAGTAGTGCAAGCTGAGATCAGGGAGTACTGTAAGCTGGAGACGGAGCAGTGAGATCAAGGAGTTATGTAAGCTGAGATCAGGGAGTAGTGCAAGCTGAGATCAGGGAGTAGTGTAAGCTGAGATCAGGGAGTAGTGTAAGCTGAGATCAGGGAGTAGTGTAAGCTGAGATCATGAGAGTATAAGCTGAGATCAGGGAGTACTGTACAGATCAAGGAGTAGTGGCTGAGATCAGGAGTGTAAGCTGAGATCAGGGAGTGTAACCTGAGATCAGGGAGAGGTAAGCTAGAGATCAGATGTCCAATCTATCCACACGATCTTCGCCTAAACAACACCTGTACAACATGACAGGTGTGACTGGTCTCTTGACATTGGGTGGTTCTGGTGCAAGACAATGATATACATGATGTTTACATTCTCTCACCCCCACAAGAGAGCAACATGACAGCAGGAAACTTCTTGACTACAGAGGAATATTTGGGCTGACTGTGCCAACCAAACCTAACAGTGGAAAGTTAAAGCGGTAGAAAATCCTTGATAATATTACTGTTGTTTTTTTTATGTCATCATGAATTAATCACAGAGGAACAATTCTTAGTTACACGGGAAGAAAAGCTAGTTAAGAGATAACTACCGAACACCTGAGAGAAAACTACCACCTTCCTCACCCCCCCCTCCCCTCTACAATCAGTCACTCTTAATTACATCTTGTTCTGCCCCGTGGTGGTCCGGTCGTCTCTCAATAAGGAGGGTCTGTGTGTACACCATGACCGTCAGGCTACGTGAGGGATGATTTATTATTATTATTATTATTATTATTATTATTATTATTATTATTATTATTATTATTATTATTATTATTATTTTTATTATTATTATTATTATTATTATATTAACCAGGCCTCCACTGACTCACTGCCCAGACAGCTAACAGGCCCCTGGGGAGGTAAGTAGTGACTCTTAAGTGACGTTTGAATGTGGTATTTACATCACCCAAGTTTGTATTCTTGTATCCGTGTAGTAGTCTTGTTCTCTGTGCCGTGTGTCAGTCAGCTGGTGGGTGACGCCCTCCCTCCACAACATATACCTTGGGCAACATGTCCTTTGTGAGATCCTCTGAAAATCCTAACTTCATTTAACCCATCAAATTGTTCGGGTTTTTTTTCTTTTCACCTTCATGATAAATACACAGCAACAACCCAGACAGCTCACCATCACTCGCTGGGAGGAAGACAAGAGTCGCATCTAAACCGAATTATAAATTG